TTGGATATGATATTGGCATGCTTTTGTTCTGTGGCAACAAGCGGACTTCAAAGGTTGCAACAGTTTATGAGATCACCTTTCTGCTTATGGGTTATATTTTTTAAAGAACGCAACAATAAAAGAACTATTTAACCAAATATAAGTTAAGACATTAATCAGAGCAAATGCATTGATTTTTATTTACAATTGTACAACAAGTCATTCAACTATTTGCATACTCAAAAGCTAGGTTTGAAAATTCTCCCTCAGAAATACAGAAAACGCTTTTCTGAGGCTGTTACTTACAGCCATTTCAGAGTTTCCAATAAAAACTCACCATCCTTGAAATGCAAAGCCTGAAAAATGAAACAAGTGTTAACCTGGAATTCTTGTTGCCAGCACTGATCTGGACAAAAGTTATTAGAGAGGGTAGCAAAGCTAGCAACAGAAATAACCTTTGGCTCTCTAGCACCGCTCTGCATTCATTGGTTATGGCAACAAAGTTTTGCTTTTCGACCCATCTGTTAAGGAAACCTTTCCAGAAATGTGAGCTTATAACACTACTTTTCTAAGAAGTTATGAGTCCTTAATACAGTGTATGCAGATGAGACCTTGAAATAGGAGAGAGTCCAGTTCCTGATGATCAGTGGACATGAGGAATCAGGTATGCTGAGCAGGCTTTGAGCTTTGTGATTTTTACTAGTCCATTTTTCCTAAGTGGACTATTTCAAATCTCTTGTAGGAAGAAACACTGTTTTCTATTTTATCAACTTTCCAGTTTCAGAATACTGCAATTTATCCCTAAAATTCAACCTGTAGTTTCAAAAGATAAAAATCCTTAGAAGAAATCTTTTGGCCTCAGTAGCCAATTGGAACTTGCCCAGGGAAGTTCAGCAACAGCACCATTCATTAAATACACTGTTCTGTACCAGCAATTCCACAGAGATTCAGCTCCAGTGCTAAACCCCATAGAGTGTCAACTGCCATAATAGCTGATTTTTTTACTTCGATGAGATTATCTCTTGTTTGTTTTGGTGTAGCTGGAACATCTAGAGCAAGGAGTCTGGGCAAAAGTACATCCTTAGCAGGGTCCAGTACAGATCATGTTACAACAGCAGCCATTTCTCTAATTAAGAAAGGCAATTAGATACAGGAATTTATTTTCAGAGGTTTATAAGAATGTGGTGAAATGTTTTTCTTTCCTTTGGGATCTCACATAATAATAAAGAATAAGTCATATATTCTAGAATACAGGTGTTGGGCCAGCCTGGGCACTCGGTGGGCAGCCAGAGCTTTCTGTCCTGGCACCTTTGGTCTGGGAGGAATCTTTGTCCGTATTCCATTTTGGGAGTCGGACTGGCAATTTCAGCGCAGTGCTCCTGCAAGCGAAGAACAGCCCTTTCCCCCAGGAAAGAAAGTCCTTACCCTCGGTGTGTCAGGTGCAGGTGGTGGGCCACTGAGGACTCACATGAAATGAATCTTTTTATTCTCTCTTTGCCCTGCTCTTGCAGCAAAGTTCGTGTAATCAAAGGTTCACTTCGAAAAAACTCCCAGGCTTCAAACTCCCTCTGCAGTATTTCACAAGGACTCATCTTGCCTCAAGAAACATCGAAAATAGTCGGTTAGGAACCAGATCATTCGTAGCACTTACGTGTCTGGGAAACTTCCACTAAAATCTGCGCTGCTCTAATGAATCGTTTCTATTATGTTTTATTCTGATGTGGGGCACTTATGATCTGTTAAGTTTGGCTCTAACACTTTCTTTGCTGAAGCCTCATGAACTGCTTTCGAAGGGAATAACTGGAATAAAGGAAATTGCTGGGATATGTTCATTGGTGAATGTATCAAAGTCCAGTTAAAGGGTCAGATTCAAACAGAATAAAAGCCACTAATAAATCACTATGCTCGCTGTTAGAAGTGAGTATAAAAGCATTTAAATATCTTAATTAAATGATGATTTGTATCTTTTAGTTTCATATTTGTTACCAATTTAGACACCTTCAGAATTACACTAATTTTCACACTCCTTGTAACTCAGTGCTGGCTGCTAAATTCATCTTGAACCAATTAAAATCTCAGTTGATGTTATTTTCAATTGCACGTATGGAGAATAAAGGTATAAATTCTACTGATTCAGGCTTCTTTCATGTGGATTTGTCTCTGAATTTGGCTGGCTGCCATCACCAGGCATTGTGTGATTTGGTCCCCATTGTTTTGTAGAGTCACCTTCCTTGGCAAAATTCAAAAGAGATTTTATTTAAATGGATTTTTATTCCTTATATCTTTACTAGGGTTACATCTGCTTTATAAATTAATCCACACACAGCAAATATATTTCTTCTTGGCAGCATGCTACCCTTTTAATTAATGTCTTTCTTTGAGTTTGAAGTATATTCAGGGTTGCAGAGAGAAAACACATCTGTACTCATGCACATTTCATCCCAGCTTAGATTCTCAGTGCTGGTTCCTCTTGCCCTTTGGTCTACTACAAGACCCCGCAACAAGTTAATTCCCTCCAATTTGCAGCATTTAGGGATTAAACAAAAATATGTCTTTTAAACAGGTTTAATATTTTACCTGAGAGACTGGGAGTAATACGTACATGTTTTTAATAAAGTATTATGTACTGTTTTTAAGGTTGGGGTGATTAGATGCCTTATCACCTTTCCTGGATGAGGGACATAAAGTGGGGGAAGGAGGCTGATGGAAGTCCCAAATTTATTATGAATTTGGGGGTTATTTGGTTAAATGTCAAAGAAAATATTGCAAATGCTACAGCAAAATGAATTATTTTAAGGGAATGCTTTTTGGAAAAGATGATGCAGCCCAGTGTTCTTTAACTTGGGGGGATTTTATGGGAAACAAATCTTGTACTCAGTGTGAAATCAGCATTTTCTGATATCATTCTGCCCACTCTTGTGGGTGCCCAGATGGGCTTTGTGTGTGTAGCCAGTTCCGTAGATTGGCTTCTTTGATCTGTGTAAGACCAGCTCTGTGTCACAGACTGCAACAGGATGCTGAAAATCTAGTGGTTTTATCTAAGGAAGGCTTGTGCCTCTGGTAGTTTTAGAAATGTTTTGGGGGTAGGAGCTCACATTGGAATGTGAGAGTGGAGACGGAGATGTGTTTAAACCCATTTATCAGATGGAAATCTTTTTATGACGAGGGACATGGGTCTATCACTGTGTTGCAATGATAATAAATTAAAGGTTGTACTGAAAAAACTTTGGAAAGGGATAGCTTGTGGAATCAACATGAGGAACAAGGAAAACCCTGAACTATCTACATGTGCTGAGAAGAAAAACCATTTGGTTTTTCTGAGCTGTGGCTACCTACAAAATAATGGGATGAACTTGAACTTTCCCTTTTAAGAAAAGTTCACAACCTTTCACCTCATGTAAGAATTGCCTCTAGAATATACGAACTTAACATTTGCCCTATTTCTTCCCTTTTAAAGGTCAGGAGGTACTTTGTGTCACAATTAATCTTGGTGAGGAACAAAGCCCAGGCTGGATGCCCTGTGTTTACAGGGAAAACTGGGGGGTCTCCAGGGGCAGGCAAGGCCACGCAGGGAGGGCAGAGGCTGTTTTCCTGAACAGCTGTCAGGGAGGGACACCATGGGAATGGCATCCCTTTGGGAGCGAAGCTCTGTTGTGCCCTTTCTTGCTCTTTGTGGAGTGAGTCCTTTCATAGAATTATAGAAGCATTGAACCATTAAGGTTGAAAAAGACCTCTAAGATCGAGTCCAACCATTAACCAGGCACTGCCAAGTCCACCACCAGGTCTCTAAGCACCACATTTACACATCTTTTAAATCCCTCCAGGGATGGTAACTCCACTGCTTCCCCTGGGCACCCTGTTCCAATGCCTGACCATCCTTTCAGTGAAGAAATTTCTTCTTATATCCAACCTAAACCTCCCCTGATGATTTTCCTCTTGTCCTGCCCCTTTTCCTTGGGAGAAGAGGTCAACCCCCTCCTGGATACAACCTCCTGTCAGGCATTTGTAGAGAGTGAGAAGGTCCACCTTGAGCCTTCTTTTCTCCAGCTTGAGCCTTTCATCCATGTACTGCTTTCCTTTTCCCTTTTTGCAAAAAAAAAAACCAAAAACCCCCCAAAAAACACACAAACCAAAACACCAAATCAGAAAGTAACCCTTATAGGTGTAGGTGTTCACAAGAAGTCCAATAATTTGGTATTAAGCAGGGAAGCTACAGTTCCCCCAACTTCAGGCTCAGCCAACATGAGCACTGGGGAGACACTACTGAGGCCATGCCTTGAGTCCTGTGTCCAGTTCTGGGCCCCTCAATTCAAGAAGGACATTGAGGAGCTGGAGCGAGTCCAGAGAAGGGAACAGAGCTGGGGAAGGGTCTGGAGCACCAGGAGCAGCTGAAGGAGCTGGGGGGCTCAGTCTGGAGAGAAGGAGGCTCAGGAGGAACCTTCTCACTCTCCGCAACTCCCTGACAGGAGGGTGGAGCCAGGTGGGGGTTGGCTCTGCTCCCAGGCAACAAGGGACAGGACAAGAAGACAGAGTCTTAAGCTGCACCAGGGAAGCTTTAGGTTGGACATTAGGAAGAATTTCTTCACAGAAAGGGTGATTAGAGACTGGAATGGGAGGTGCCCAGGGAGGTGGTGGAGTCACCGCCCCTGGAGGTGTTTAAGAAGACTGGACGTGGCACTCGGTGCCATCGTCTGATTGACAAGGTGGTATTGTGTCACAGGTTGGATTCGACGACCGCAGACGTCTTTTCCAACCTAATCGATCCTATGATTCTGTGACCCGGACAGGGCTGAGGCGCCGCGCTGCCGAGGCACCAGGGCCCGTCCCTGCAGCAGGACACCAGCCTCCAACACACATCCTCCATCACAAAACAAGCCCGTTTGGCTTGGGGTGTGTGGGGGGAGGTAGTTTGAAGCGCTGGGTTCCCAACCCCAGGCTGCGCGGCGCCGAGGGCGGAAAATCACAACCCTCACGGGCGGCACCACCACCGCCATGTTAGGGCGGGCGGCAGGGAAAGCCGCGGTCACGTGAGTTCCGGGCAGGGCGCGGGCCGGGCCGGGCCGGGTCGGTCTCTTTGTTTCTCTTCCTTCTCCGGCTTCCCGGGAAGTCACTCTGCCAAGGCAGGAATGGCGTTCGCCTGCGGAGCGTGGGGCCAGGACGCCTCCAGCCACCCCGCACTCGGCGCGGGGCCCATTGTGAGCCCGTTCCTGAGCCTCTTGCTCTCCATCTCCGCGGGGCTGTCCGAGGCCGAGCTCGACTCCATGAAGTTCCTCTGCCGCGACAAGATCACAAAGAGGAGGCGCGAGTCTGTGCGGAGCGGTAGGGAGCTCTTCGAGATCCTGATGGAGCAGCAGCACATCGGCAGCGACAACCTGCACTTCCTTAGGAAACTGCTCGAGCACATCCGCAGGGGCGATTTGTTGTCACAGCTGGAGCAGTTCGAGGAGGAAGAAGGGCTTGGTGCTCCTGATGATCAGCCAGATGAGCAGGAAAAACGTAGGTGGATTATAATATATATTATCATATATATATTACACATATATATATTTTATCTCAATTATATTTTTATATATGTATAGTTATATCAACCCTAGTAAATGTGAACGCAAACGGCTTTCCGAGGTGGAAATTCTCTCTTTTTTATTTTTTAAATCGTTTTTTAAATCTTTTTATTTATGGTCACTAGAAAAACGAGTTATGTATGTGGAATTCCAAGTATATCCAGTATTTCATGTATAGCTAAGTACATCCAAGTATTTCAGAATGTGCTGTGACTCTCAGTACGTGCACTGCACCAAGAGCAGTAGCATTTTGCTAAAAAAAACAAACAAACCCAAACCCCAACTTTTAAACATTCTCTTGTATTTCTTAGTAAACCCATGGCTAACTTGATGTATTTCTGCTGTTTCAGGTCTTCTCAAGTTAGCTAATGATGTCATATGTGAGAACGTTGGGAGAGACTGGAAAAAGCTGCTGCGACAACTTGGCATGCCAGAAGTGAAACTGGACAGAATAGAGGCAGACTATCAATTTAAATTGTATGAGCAGCTTTTCCAGGGACTTCGGGAGTGGCAGAGATGGAAGGGGAAAGATGCAAAGGTGGCTGACTTAATAAAAGCTCTTCGGGGCTGTCACCTGAATTTGGTGGCAGACTTAGTTGAAGAGAAGATCTCACAGCTGAACACTGGAGCCAGATGAAATCAATATCATGCCTCTCAGATATGGATGAAAAAAGCAAAAGTGCCTTCTTCTCTTCTGGACCAAAATACTTATCACTGGTTGCTTATTATGCCATTAGTTTAGGTGCCTTAGTAAATTAATTTCTGGACACAGGAAAATTAACATGAAAACAGATTCTTTTCAGGTGACACTTTGTAGCATGATGCTTCCTTAAAGATATTTTAGCTTTTAGAAGACCTGAGCACCATTTTGTAGAAATTCTCACACTTTTGTTCTGCCACCCACCTGAAAAGATTTGCTTTACTGCAGATGCTTTTTGATACATCTTCTCTGGAAATACATCCATGGGACACTTCTGAGGCAATTGTAATTTAAAATTTCGTGGGGAGGTTGGATTTTTTTTTTCCTATTATAAACGTAATGTGAAAGGGAGGAGTGTCTTAGCTGCGTACTGGGTTTTCCTTCTGAGAAGCATAATATAATTTGCCAAATATATTTGCTCTCTATCAAAGGATACTAAGATGACTGTAACCTCAGACCCCAAGACTGCAGTGCAAGAGGGGTATTAAATGTTGTGGTGGCTTCTTCTTAGTAAAAATATGCCCAGGTTTGAAAATGAACTGGTTGAAATCAGTACCATGTGCCTTCACCATCCTGAAGGAAGTGTTCTCCTGAAACTACCGAAGAAGTTCCGTGTCTCTCAGATGTTTACAGCAGCCTCTTTTGAAAGCTGTGCCTGCTGTGTCTGCTAGGAATTCTTTCCTAACCTCTGTCACAGAGGCTGCTCATGGTTGCTGGCAGGTGCAGCTCAGCTCTTGGTGACAAAAATGTGTACTGTGCCAAAAACCTAGAAAACAAACTGCTTCCTTTTGGAGGGGTGTGAGTAATTCTATATTGTGGACTTTTTTCTGGCAATATCCAGCTATCTCTGGCCAGGTTGTTCTCTTCAAAGATCCCTCCAGATCCCATAGCTCTTCCAAGTCTTGTGCCATTTTTTTCGTTCATTCCCATTGCTTGACATTTTCTTTAAGTCATTATAAGCAACTCACAGGGGAAAGAGGATTTATGAACAAGACCAGATTCAGTTCTCAGGTTTAATCTGGGACAGACTTCACTAAATGGCCTTCACACCTGACTGGAAAATTTGCACAAGCTTCAAGATGTGCAGAGCTGTAGAGGCCTCTGGGGGCTGTCTCCTGTGCCAGGGGGGAGAGTTCTCTGAAATTGTTATTGCTTGAATGATTGTAGGATTGTTTGCTACTGCAAACATCCTCCAAACTGCCTGAATACATACTTAAGAGGCTTCTTTTTTGCTACTGTACCTATGTGCCTTTTAGCTCCTTTCAAGTTCTTTTCACGTGGTGCTATGACTGTGAAGGCCAGGTGTCAGCGTGTGATGTGTCACTGCTCTGCAGAAATGTTGTGACAATGATAATTTTCAAGTTTTTGTTACAGTTGGTGCCTCTTGCTTAAGCAGTGCCTCTTGAATACTTAATTGAAGTTAATGGAAACTGCTGTAAGTTCACATGACAAAAAAACATTTCATTGATGAAAACACAATGAAAATGTCAACACAAACATTTTCATAGTGTTTTTTCCTTGAATGATTTTTTTCCCCCCATTCCTGGAAGTGTTCAAGGCCGGGTGGGACAGAACTTGGAGCAACCTGGTCTAGCGGGAGGTGTCCCTGCCCATAGCAGGGGGTGGAACGGAATGATCTTTAAGTTCCCTTCCGACACAAACCATTCCATGATTCTGTGATGATTCTCAGTATCCTCCTAGCTGTAGTATATTAAGTATCAGTGATTGTATCCAAGCATAGGGTAATCTAGGATTTTCCACCTGTCTGCATTTTGGGCAGGCAGGGTTCTCCAAGTACTGATTTTAATACTTGTATCAGTTGCCAATTCCAGACTCCCAGTGCTGTGCTTCATCTGAATGACCAGCTCAGATGTTTTGGGTTTTTTTGCTTAATAGACACAGCATTCATTCTGCAGTATCTAAAGAAAATGATTGCTTCAGACTTTTTTCCTTCTCTGAGCACTCCTTGTGAGCAGAGCAGAGAAACCAACAAGATGAGTTGTGTGTGGTGAAACAGCTCTACAGCAGTTCCAAGTTCAATCTCTCTGGTAACATGTTTTTCTTACCCATTTTTAATAAGTCTTCTGGTTTACAGAAGAGAGATTGATCCGGAATATAAAAAGTATACTGTCTACTGCATAGTACCAAGATATTTTAGGAATCAATCAGATTAATTTGTTAGTTGTAGCCAAGCACTCATCAGCTACAAGAAATATTCTGCCTCAGAAGATAAAAACTTCTTGTTTTCATAAGTAATGTTTTACTGCATGTGAAAGCAATGACCTAGACTGCATCAATCTGTGCAGTATCTCAGGGCCAATTAAAACTGGTTTTATTAGAGATTAAAATGTTTATGTGAGAACAAAATCAAATGAAACAAAGGGAACAAAACCTTTTTTATTGGGAGGAGGGATAAGGAAAACGGGTGCAATTTGTAAGGAAACGTTTTCTGATCCAGTTACCAATCTTTTATTTTCAAATTAAGCACCTTGAACTCATACATAGTTTTTATAACTTGAATTGAAGCTTTATATTATATAATTTTGTGTATATTTCATTAAAAATACTTTCTTAAAAAAACCAGATGGAACTGTTTTGTTATTTTATGGGATTGATGTCTGTGATGAGATCTCTAATTGAGAGGAGATAAATGTTAAGGACACTTTTAAAGCAAGGAGCAGTGCTAAACAGGCATTATGTTACCAGTGTCCTTCTGGGGACATTAAAGAAGAAAAAGCAAAAAACTTTGTTACTGAATTTCTCAGAAGTGCTGAACAGGCTGCAGTTTTCCTCAGAGCAGTAGCATTTAAATGCTGTCGCTCAGAGTAGTGTAAGAAGAAAAAGATTCTCTGTCAGCCCTCAGGAGCCTAAAATTGAGTGGCAGTGCAGTGTGTGCATAGAAGATGCTGGTAAGGATGGCATATTTGTTTTATAATTAATTAAAAGCATAGCTTCTGGTTTATACAGTTGGTCTAGGATTTTAGGGGATGTGTTCAGATGTTAAATTGATAGAGGCTTTGGTGTTCTGTGGAGTTTATCCTGGCACTGAAGTGTCAGCCTGCACTTAGAGCTGTGAATGACTAAGATAAATAACTTAATTACCCAGTTTATGAAATCCTTTAGGATGCTCTGCAACAGTATCTGCCTGTGAGGAATTACTAAAACTTTTCCCTTTTGGTCTCTTGAGGGTCTTGTTTCCTTACAGCCTTGAGAAAACAACATATCAAAACATGTGGAGAGTTTTAAGTGCCATCTCAGGAGAATTCTCATTGTGGAGGATTGTCTTTCCCTGTCACTTCTCAGTCCCTTACAGTGCTTGCTATTTCCTATAATTTTTGAAGATATCAATTATATTCACACATTAAAGTGTTTTTCACTTTAAATTGCATTCTTTTCTTTACTGAGTTAAAAGAACTTTTCTAGACTATTAATTAAAAATCCTCTTATACAAATTGGTTGTCGTGAATATTTCAAATGCAATGCTTTGCTTTCCTTTTTCTCCATTTCCCACACACAGGCAACTGTATTTCCTCCAGCCTTTGTTTCATTCCTAAAATAATTGGCTACTTTCTGAAGTCTAATTGCTTCATTTAATTGTCTGTGCAAAAAGCTTAGTGACGCTGTGTCTCCAAGCTCTCTCAGCATGTTTAATTCAGGCTTTCTGGTTGCGTGTTTTTCAATTCAAATTTATTTCTAATCACTGTCTTGTGCCTTTCTCATTCCCTGCATGAATCACCTATGCCCTTAAAATGTGTTCCAGCACAAATATTTTTTGAAGTTGTTTTCCGTCTTTGATTTATTGCTTCTTTTCTCTGCCAGTGCTTTGATTGCAGGGGTGTACTGGTAGATTTATAGAAAGCAGTTCACTATATACTATAAAAACAGGAGTTGTGGGGGTGAGCTGAGGGGTAGGAGTTGTGAGTAAAGGTTCAAGAACTTTTGAAGAATCTTTGTTTTCATAAAAATTGTAGCTGAGGGTTGCTTCATGGGAAGAGAGTATGTTGCAACGGGTGCTGGGAATTGTAGGTTTGGAGACAAGGAAGCCCAGCCTGACTCAGCTGCCGGGAAAGCCAGAGGAATTCAGGCTTCTGCATGGGAATTTGCATGGAATAAACTTGGAGGAACTCTTAATCATTAAATAGTCTCATCCACCGAACTATTTCTGCTACTGGTTCATTCCTAAGAGCATTACACATGCCTTTCTTAAAGCAGGCTAAAGTTAAACTAGCAGGTTTGCTCTTGTAAAATATGATGTAACATAAATGATTGAAACACCTGAAGTTGGTCATCCTGATGGAGTTTAAATTCAGTAATTCCTATGATCTGGTCAGTTTTGGAAATTTAAAACTTCTTTAATGTTTTCCAAATGTTCTTGTGTGGATGGCAACTTAGCTTCCTTTTCTTTTAGTTTTTGGAAGAAAAGGGTTGCGCTGTGTTTTGGGCTGGTCACAGTATTTACAGCAGCTTTCAGAGCAACCAGCTCTTGTGGCAAAGTGAAGGTTTCTCTGTGCACTCTCTAAGACTCTGAAGAGATTGGTATATAAAAAATAAAAATAAAGGATGTCTTGAGTCTTACATCTCTGGAACAATGTAGTAAATGTAATTGCTAAGGAAAGCACCTTAATAGCAACTTTATCTCTGTCTAATGCTTCAAAAAGTTGTCAAACTGGGATTTTTATTTATTTCAGAGCAGGTTCTTTTGCTGTGGGAAGTTACACAGGCATAAAATTGGACTGTTGTCATTAAAGATATAAAAAACATCCACCTGGGGTTTTCCGTGGCAGGTGCTTTATTTACAGGTGAGCCTGGCTTTATAGAACTTCTACATAAAGCAATGATCTTTCAATTAAAAATGCTCATGATTTTTATAATGTTTTCTTTTTCATTTCTTAATTATTTTATTCCTATTGATCCCAGCAGGAGCGTTAACTTCAGAAAATGATTTG